TAGTGCAGTGTCAGTTCACAGCTCACAATGTTTGTTTTCACACTGTAATTCTCTACACTCTGATGCGATCTACCTGCTCACACTGTACATCTAAAAACCACTTCGGACTCAGCTCCGCAGTGAGATGGTGCTACTCAGATTAATTTATCCGAAAGCCAAACGAGTAGAAGAGAAATAGGAAGCTCAATAGAGTAAAAGGCGCTGCTTTGGCAATTTGTGCAATTTTGTGTGCTGAAAGCCCTAAAAAGAAAAGGCGACAACGTATTTGGACAAAGACATGGCTGAGCAAACGTGGCTACTACAGATTGTCAATTTTACAGAAAGAACTCAATTTCCCTCGCATCCCCACCATACTTCTGTGTTTTTATCTGAGAGGAAGAAGAAGAAATCTTATTTGTGCATGCCCACTGAGCAATTTGGCCATGACCACCTTACGGCGGCTGAATGAATTTCAAACATGTTTGATTTTCTCACATTCCTTGAGGCATACATTGGATGTGAGAAACTGCTCTAAGGATATGTTTGGTAAAACCATAGTTAAAGTGTGGGGAAAAAATGCCAAGAAATCTTGCAATTAAAGGAAGTGCAAGGTTGTTTTATCTTTGACATTGAACAAAAGGATATTAAAAGGCACCTCATACACAGACACTCCACAAGGAACTATATTTCAAAACTAAAGTTGCTTCTGGGCTTTGGGCTGTAGATATGTCAAACAACAAATTTGACCATTAAACACTGTAGATCAGGGGTGCCCAACCAGTCGATCGCGAGAAGTTTTACAATGTAGACCTATTTATGGCTATGACAAAAAAAAAAAAGTTTTAAAAAACACTAATCAAATCATTGATCACGAGAGGCCAAAGTGTTTTTTTATAATAATAAAATGAAAAATAAAAAGTAAGCAGGGAACCTTTTTTTCTGCATGCTGATTGCTGGGCATGGTTAGCCACGGTTGCTAGGTTATTACTCTGAAGTACGAAGAGGAATCTGAAGGGATAATGAGATAATGACATCTATCACAACTGATGGGGCTCCATCAATGGTTGGGCGCACTGCTGGATTCGTTGCTCTGTTCAAGCTGTCTGAAACCTTCGTGGATTTTTGGAGCTACCGCTGCATCATTCATCAACAACAGCTGTGCGGCAATATTTTAAATATGAAGCATGTCATGGACGTTGTGATGAAGATCGCAGACCACCCTGATCTGTTGCTGCGTCAGGTGGCTGAGCCTTGGCAAATCTTAGAAAGATTTTTGGAACTTTTGCCCAAAATTAAAGAGTTTCTGAAACAGTCAACAACCCATTCTGCTGTATATAACATTTTCACATCCACATAGTTTGTACTTAGTATTTTCCTATTTTTATCTGTTTTTCTGTTGAATTTTAATCCATCTGCCAGTTTCTCTGCCAATGCCAATGCCCAGTGAAGTTTATCATTCTGAAATAGTGGACTTCCCTTCTCCTTCTTCCTGCTTTGAAGTCATCTTAAACTTAGACAGATTTTATTTGCCATTTTGTTTACACAGGTTTAAAACAATAAGAAATTTAGTTAGNGTTCTGTTAACATGAGCTGTCAGGTCAGACCCCCCCAACAGAGAAACAATAATAACCACCAATCTGCTAACGCGCTGTACTATAGTAATATTAGGACTCTTGCTCCATTTGACTTCAGTTTGGTTTATTTATAAAGAATCAATTTACAACCACTTATTTCAAGACACTTTACCAGAAAATACAAACAGATCCTGTTCACATTACTGCAATCAAACCTTTATTACAGCGAGAAATAACAGGTAAAGATAGAACGACAGGAAGCATACTTCAACAGAACCAGACCCAGTAAGCAATCGATTAGTTCATTGTTTTATTCCGTGTGTAACATTGACTCAATCTCATTGGTAGAGCGGATGTCAGGCTGACGCGTTCCTTGCTGTGATTGGCTGGATTTTAGGGGTCAAAGTTGAAGTTAGCTCCGCTAACGCTGACGTCGACTTGTTCAGCAAAATGGCGGCGTTGACAGCACTGAAGCAGGCGGACGGGACCGGTTCTTCTTTATTATCTCAAAAACGAACCGCAATGAAGACGAGACGTTGCTGGACGCTTGTAGACTGCAGTGTCCTCCTGCTATCGTTAGCTTCCATGTTGCACTGCGCTGGGGCTGACGGTAAAACGCTGGTGCTGCTGGACAACCTCAACATCAGAGATACCCATTCAATCTTCTTCCGCAGTCTTGCAGGTCTGTTTAACGACGATGTTTCATTGCAGTTTTAGCTCAAGGTTTATATAAAGAAGTAGGTTCGCGTGGTTGTTATGCGTTTTGTAGGTTTTGTGAGGGTACTTGAACGGATCTGCTGCCCTCACTTAGCACATTATGGCTGCCAACGTTAGCTAAACCGTTAATGTCTGTCATTAAATTTCACTACAGTGTGAGATTAAATATGTAATGTCCTAAATAGTACAGTGTAAGGTTTCAGAGCGCAATATTTTCAACTCCTACTGTATTCCTACATCATGCTATTATAATACTATAAACAAGCACTTCCTGTTCAACAACTTGTAAACGAACAAAAGAGAAAAACACAATGGTCTGTTTTTTTGCTATTAGTTTTTCATTGAATTTCCACCCATACACACCGCCATGCATCAAGGCCTCTGGTGACGTCACATAAAGAAACTGATAATGTTTTGTGAATGTCAGCTTTCAATTTCAATTAAACTTCTTTTATTTTATTTTTTTAATAACTTATTATACGATGTCTCATATGAGTGGCAAATATGCCTTGAAAAACCAATTGTATATATAATTCTAACAGGAATAAACAGGGTTTTTTTTTTTCTTTTACTAGTTTATGGTCCTGTTTCAATTTTTATACCCAAAGCAGAATCCATCATGGTTTAGGGGTCTACAAAGATTGGTAATTCAAATATTTAAGGGTCTATATTGATTGATTGACTTTATTGATCTCACAGTGGAGAAATGTACTCGTTACATCAGCTCAAATATTCAAAGAAGCAGATTGTGCCAAAGGAAGAAAGAGGTGCATGGGATATATACAGTGCGTCCACATATGACAGGGTTTGTTTGTTTTTTATTGCAGGATTATTATACAGGGTGATTGCACGGTGTGTTTACATGGGTATTTATATAGATGGATATTTACATTTATAGTTATTGCACTGGGTGTCAAATATAGAAAAAGCAGGTTATTGCACAGGGTATCAAATAGTATATTGCACATTATATATTGCACAAGTTATTGCCGTTGTCTCTCCAAAGGACCTCAAACTCCTTCAAAATATTTGAAAAGTAATTCATCTGGCATAATTACTAATGGAGGTTTATATATAAAAAAAAAAAAAAAAAAAAAAACTCTTAATAGTCCTATTTGAAATAATCAATTATCCAGTTTTTCCAAAATTTTCAACCTCTGTTTAGAAAAAAATCTGTATAATTTACAAAAAGGAGAACTTGTTATACATCTGTTATATCATATTTACAATGGGGGGTCTTTATTCATTGTTGTGAGAATGTTAACGGGCAAAGTAAAGGCTTAGTGAGATCTAGGGATATTCGTCTCAAGGTATACTAGAAACATGTTTTTTATTTTTTATTTCTTTAACTGATATGTGCTTTCCAGATCGTGGATTTGACCTGTCATTCAAGACCGCTGATGATCCCTCTCTATCCTTGATCAAATATGGACAGTTCCTCTACGACCATCTAATCATCTTTGCCCCATCGGTTGAAGGTAAATATCTGTTGGTGTTTCATTAACCTTTTTTTTCTGTTTGAAGACATACTAAATATTTTTTTCCTGGTTTATTTGCAGACTTTGGTGGAAATATAAACCTGGAGACCATAACATCGTTCATTGATGGTGGAGGAAATGTCCTGGTTGCTGCAAGTTCAGATATCGGTAAGGAGTTTCTTTAAAGGTTTTTATCTTCTGTTAGAGTTAATGGGAGCAAATTGATATTCATACTCATTTCTGTAATGCAGGTGACCCACTGAGGGAGTTGGGTAGTGAGTGTGGCATTGAGTTTGATGAGGAAAAGACCGCTGTAATTGACCACCACAACTATGATGTTTCTGACCCTGGAGAGGTAAACAGTTTGGTCTTCATTATGACATTAGTATATTTATCGAATCTTGAACTTTGACGTTCAATTTCCTGGTTATCTGGTATGTTTGCAGCACACATTGATTGTTGCAGATCCAGAGAACCTGCTTAAAGCTCCCACTATCGTTGGCAAACCCACCAACAAACCTGTTCTATTCAAGGGTGTTGGGTAAGTAAGAAAAAATCTCCTTACATGAGGTTTGAATTTAGCAGTATCCTGAATTTGGTTGGATATATTTTTCTTTAAGAGTATTTTTTTTAAATATTGTTTTAAAATAATGTTGGTCTTTTATGACAAGAAAAGTTTGTTAAACTCTCCTCTAATAGTGATTAACTTTCCAGGGTTACAACAGCCTTTTTAAATACAAACTAGACTCTGTTGTTTGAATTTTTAAAGTGAATATCTGTTTGGAAATGATGAAACATATTGTTGCAGCATGGTTGCTGATCCAGACAACCCACTTGTCCTGGACATCCTTACTGGTTCTTCAACCTCCTACTCCTATTTCCCTGACAGGCCAATTTCTCAGGTAACATCCGCTCCTATTGTCTGGTCAAATGTTCTATTTTATTCATTAATTTTCCTAAAGTATTAGTTTAGTGAAAAGCTGACATTTCCTTAAATCTGAAGTTTTTTGATCAAAAGCAGTTGATGTATGATAGGAATGTGAGGTTTTAATTATGGAGGACCTGGCGAATCACTGGAAAAACAAAACGGGCCTAATTTAACATTTAAATCAGGCAATTTAAAATCTTTTTCTAATTGCATATTTTTGATTGGATGTTAAAGAGGAATTGTAATTTTGTATACATTATTCCATTATTAAACACTGGAATTTAAATCATTTTTCTAACTGAAGATTTAAAAACCAAACTTCATAAATCTGAAAATTCATACATTTCCTCATCACACATTTAAAAAGATAAATCCTTATTCCATTTTCTTTTTCAACCTATTTTAAAATGCTTTCTGAAGTGATATTTTCTTTTTACTTTCTCTTCTCCATTTTTCTTTTCTGTCACCCTTCTGGTCCCTGAGCAAACTGGAAACCAGTTAAGTGTATCACAGTGGATCCTCAGATATTAACGGCTCTGTAATTGGTTATTTTCTGAACCAGGTGTGGCAATTAAACCAATGAGAGAGCTGTCACTTTTATAAAAAAAAAAAAAAAAAAAAGCTAAAAAAAAATAAATGTAAAGGAAATTAGCTCTGTATTAAGACATCAATGTCATGTTTCTATGGAAACAAGTCAACCCAGACTTTAGTCACTGCTTTAAGTCCTCATTTAAAATATTAATGTCCATTTTCAGTTTTAGTTCAGTATGGAGAGAGCTTCAGAGTTTTGATGCCTTAAAAGAAAAACTAGGCTGTCCAGTGGATGTTTTAAATTGTGGAGCGATACACAGGCCTATTTATTGCGTATCTACATGGAAAGCAGATTTCCTCTTCTGGGTTTTTATCCTTTTAGTTTTCTCTGAGAACCATTTGCATTTTAATAATTTAGATTTGACTGGTCCTGAGATAAAAACTGATAAACCTTAAAACAAAAGCTTACTATGCAAAGGATTTGTTTTCAATCATCAACATTTAGATAAGAGTGGGCTGGATGCTGTGGTATTTCCTTCATTTGAACGGCAAACTACCTCATTCTACATAACAGTTTCACTCTTTAATTTATTAGTCCTTGGAAAAAATAAGCCGGTAATGTGAGGTTAGAACAAAAAGAAGCAAAACAATATCTGCATCAGCCAGGAGGGGGTGTAAGAAAATCCGTCCCCTGGTTTAGAGCCATACATAAAGGAGCATTCTGCTGCCACACTGAGCATCGAACTGGGAACATTGTGAGGTTAAGGGTCATGTGCAGGACCCAGAGCGACAGTCAGAGTCAGCCTCTGCTCTTTATTCTGATTTTAACTCCTCTTTGCTGTCATTTATTGGACTGGGTTGGATGATAAAATCTTCAGGAAATGTGCTATGATGGCAGTTAGGCTATTATTTATTTAAACAAATGTAGTGTGTGAGAGAACCATACTCAACCTCAGCAGCCTGGCGCCTCCCTCTCAGTCCCTTTAACAGATTGGTCACACACTGAGGTGCAGGGTTGGGCTGGCTTTAAATTCAGCTCAGGAGCTTGGTTCCTTCATCTGATCACACAAATACATTATTCAAAGTATAAACTGTGAAGTTAGGAAGCTGAGGTAAAGGCATTTAATAAAATAAAATAAAAAATAATAAGGTTCAAATGTATTTAACGTCCTCAGACAATGAGATGGAGCTCTGACTGAAGCATCCTCAGCACATACATTTATACCTTACAATTTCCCAACACACACTCTACCCCCCCACCCCCCAGGTGAACGCCCTACCTAAAGAACGTTCTCACACTTGAACATTGAAACAAACAGCTTGAGTTCATCAGGGTCATTCGCTGTTGGGTTAATATATCTTTCACGGTCCAGATGGATCTTCTCTAAACAGTCCTCCCCTTCATGCGTAATTCTTACGCATTCTTATATTTTTTTCCAAAAATTAAACCATTAATGTGTTTATTAATAGAAATTAGGATCGACCCAATAGCAAAATTTGATGCTTGATATCGATAACAAGGAAAATATCAGATGCCATTTTCAATACCTTGGGGATAAAAAATGACAAATGGAGGCTTAGGAAATGTTTTTGTCAGCATTAAAAACTGACCTTTTTCCATCTAATAAGGGATCATGCTTTCTCAACAGAACTGCACATACTGCTTGTATTA